AAATCTAATTTTCAATGTGATAATATTTTGGGCTGGAGCCTTTGTGAGGTGATTATATTGTGACAGCAGAGCCATCTTGTATGGGATTAGTATCCTTATAAAAAAGACCTCAGGGAGTTCTCCAGCCTCTTCTGCCATATAAGGACACAGTGAAAAGACAGCTGTCTGTGAACTAGGAAGTGGGCTGTCACCAGACACCTAATCTGTTGGCACCTTGATCTTGGACTTCTCAGCCTCCAGAACTGTGAGAAATAAATTTCTTCTACTTATAAGTCACTCAGTCTATGGTATTTGTTATAGCAACCTGAAGGGCTTAAGATCCCTTCCTCTGAAATGATTAAACACCCTTAATATACAAGTTTTAAAACACTTACTTATCAAAAAAGACCCATTTCTAGATATCTATCTTTCTGTATTCTATGTATTTTGACAGTAACGTCACATATTTATAATTTCCTAACATTTACTGCATTATCTCATTTACTCTTCCTTATTAATATGGACCATTATTATCTACATATTGAGATATAGTTTAAGTAATTGCACAATATCACACAGCTGGTATCTGATGAAGCCAATATTCAAAGTAATGTAGTCTGACTCCATAACCCTTGCTTTAATTAATGTGCTCTGTGCTACCATATTTAAGAGTGGAAGCCTTTAAGAGGCTTATAATTTTCCATATTTTCTGTTCTGCCTTTCCTAGTGCCATGGTGACCTAGAGGCTCTATTAGTCTGGATCCTTGAATGATGCTAACATGGACCACTACTCCCTGGTCACCCTGAATGGACATATGAATAAGAAATAAGCCTTTGTTGTATTTTAAGCAACTCAGATCTTATGGCTATTTATTAATAATCACAGACTTATCTTCCTAATACATTTAATAGATAGGTTTTTTTTTTCTGGGAAGTGATGTGTAAAAGGGTCATTTGTAAAGTTTACAAAATAGTTATGTTCTAAAAGTTCATATTGAATAAGTTACTTGAATATAAAATAATTTTTCATAAGGTAACTTTATAAATGGACTGCAGAAGCTTACTCAACTCATAATTTAAGTGAGAGTAGAAAATAGAGCCATTAAAATAATTAATTTAAAATACAAAATAAGTAAATAAATTGAAGCTTGTAGATATTATGAACACTTACAGACATTTTTAAGTATTTTATAGAAGTTGAAAGCATAGTTCTTTAGTATATTTTAATTTCTCTTGAAAGTGTACATTTCCTCTTTTCCTTGACCCTAGAATATCAGTATTCTCTTTTGCTTACCATCTATGATTGCCATTGCTTCCATGGCTTAAATAGAATGAAAAGGAAGAACTCAGGAAAGTTACTAAGCAAAAAACATGAACATTTGAAAAAGAGATATTGCCTAGTTAAAATGCAATGACTTGTGAGCAACAAAAGAGAGGAAAAAAATAGAGCATAATGACATACTGAATCCTTACCTAGAAAGGAATGACCTTAGAGCCTACCTATTCATCCTTAGGCAGATCAAAGCTGCTGAGTTGATAAATGAATATTGGTTCCCCACATGGCAAAAGAGCTGAGCTGTAACCCACTTTCTTTTTTGATTTTAAAAATTATTCAAGTTACAGCATGTTTTCCTATATATTTTTTTCAGTTTGTTCTCCAAAAAAATTTGTGTGGATATTTTTATGTGTAATGTCATTTGGCCATTTATCTATTTTATTTACCACAGAAAGATAAGCCAAGAAGTTACTAGGAAAGAGTTTAAATGTCTCAACAGAATCATTTTGCTTCCCATCTGTTTTTAAAAGATCAGCCAAAAACAGAGATGGAAACTTTTAAGAATGTCCATCTCTAGCCATGTAATGTAAGGTTAGAATAATAACAACTTTTTACTCTCCCTAATATAATAAAATCTGATATACTGACTGAATCCATAACATTTCAAAGAAAATAATGAATCAACACTGTGAAAGAATAACTCAAACAGAGGTAAAACGTGTTCAGTTGTTCTCCTTACTAAATGCTTCCTCATTTCTCTACTGCATGAAGATTCTAAGATCATCACCACTTCTCAGGAACAGCCTAAACTTGCTGTATTTTTATGTATTTGTTTAAAGGTAAGCATATTTCTCTGATTATTATGTCTCCTTTAGTGGTTTTGTCTTTCAACTTTACTTATTTATTAGACAATTTTTTATTTTTTAATCCTTACCTCTCCTGAGCTCTAGAACCATGTTTCTATCTGCCTACTGAATGAATATCTTTGTCTAACATGCCTCTCACATACTTCAAACTAAATCTATCACTGACTCATTCAAACTACTTCTTTCCCACTTCTCTATTTATATTGCTGGCACTAGCATTCTAACAGTCATTGATTTTATACATACATCTTTTCTCCCTATCATTACCCACATCCAAAACAGTAACTATGCTATAGTCATTCTATTTACGATATGTGTCTCTTTTGTCCTTTCCTTTTGCCTCACACTTGACATATAAAATTTTAGTAATGCCTTAAACTTCATAATACCACTTAAGAGCATATTCATATTAAATGATGATGATATTGATAAGAAAAATGATAATAACAACTAACATTTATTAAGAAAATACTGTGTGTCAGGAATTGTTTTAAGCACTTTGCATACAATACCTCATTTAATTTTCAAAAAAACTCTAAGTGACATACTACCTCTTCTCTAAATGCAGTATTCTTTATCTTGGCTACTGCAACAGGCTACTGGACTTATCTTTAGACTCTTGTTCTAGGCCATCAAATAGAATAATGTCAGATTAATTTCCCTAGAGCAGAGTTCTGATCATAACTTACCTAGCTTGAAAACCTAAAAGGATTCCCACCATTGGTTATATTAAGTATAATGCCTTAAACTTCATAATACCCCTTAAAGAGCAAAAAGCCATTTTTCCACACCTCTCACTTCTTCTATGCTCAAGTTGAAATGTCAGTTTATTGTTCCCAATACTGGTCTAGCTCCATCTATGCCTTAGGTAATGTTCACTTTATCCAAAATACTTTCTACAGCCTCAGTTCTTATTCTTTCATAAATGTTACCCTGCTAAAACGACAATTTTTTCAATTTCCATTTCAAATGGTACCTTATCTACATAGTACCATTATGGGAACATTCTCTCTTTTGAATCCCAGTATATCTATAGATTAAAAAACATTTTTCTGTAGTGCTCAGCGCTGTACTTATTAGCATTATTATTACTGTACTTATTAGCTGTACTTAGTAGATTATTAGCATTCTACTGAATTAAATTGAATTGAACTATATATACAAGGAAGTATAAATAAAAATGAATAAAGCTACCTAGTTTGTCAACAATGATATAATACCTATGAACATGGTATTTGTATTCAGAGAAAGATAAGTTGGCAACACTTATGGAATGTCTTCATACTAAATGATGTTTACAAGAAAAATGATACTAATAGCTAATATTTATTAAGAAAATATTATGTGTCAGGAACTGTTCCAAGCACTTTGCATGCAAAACCTCATTTAATATTCAAAAGAACTTTACGTGGAATAATATAGTTATTATCCCCATTTTAGAGATGAGAAAACTGTATCACAAAGAATCTGGGTAACTTGCCTGAGGACACATGGTTAGAAATAAATAATCACAATTCTAATAAAACAGCCTAACTCTAGAAATTGAGCTCTAAAGGAGATGAAAGTAGTAGTAATTTACATATTGGATATTGTATCTTATATTCCCAAATTAACTACTTTTTAACAAATTATGAAATGGGTATCATGTAAGTAATTTCCCAAAAATCTCTTTTAAATCAGTTGTTTCATCATATGTTACAAGGCAAATATTTCATAAAAGTAGATTACTGGATACTGAACAAACCATACAGACTATAAATTCCTTCATAACAATAACCGTAACTTATTCATCTTCATACACTGAGAATTTGACCTAGTATTTGACACATAATTATGCCAGATTTATAATAAATGGTCACATCAATTAAATCCAAAGTCAATTTTACTTTTATGTTTTCCTTTTTCCTCCTTAAATATCTGCATGCTTTGGTTCTCCAAAAGCAATTTTTGAAATTGCTCCTCAATAGAGTAACTTCTAAAATGTATAACAACATATTTGCAATATTTGAATATATGGAGAAAGCTGCAAAAAAGAATGAAACTGCAATACTGAAATGAAGGAACAAAGAGTTAAAAGATGAGTGAGAATTTGCTTTCTGGTTAAGAAAGGCAATAGCATTGCACGTAGTTGAACAAAGCACGTAGGACAGGTAGACAAGAGCTTGTTTAGGGAACAATAAGTGATTCAGAATGGCCACAGTGTACTGCAAAGCACATGCTGGGGAGTGGTAGGAGCCCATAAAGATAGATCCTGGATAGATTGTAAAAGGTTTTTAATGCTCTGCTAAGAAGGTTAGCATTATCTTGGAGCACAGAATGTTAACTCTTGAGCCTACTCTTGCTATAGATAGATATCTTACTAGTAGCTAAAAACAAAATAACTTATTATAAACTGAATTATAAACTGAACCCAAATCCTCTGATATGGTATTTTCTAACTCATGATATACATAATATTCTTCTTAAATTAATGACAAAAAGTTTCTACAAATTTGTTTATTCATAAGTGGTATTTTAAAAGTATGGCAGGATGGAAGAACTTAAATGATACCTGCTTTTTAAAAAGATGCTGAAGACAAAATGTTTTTTCCTTCTTGCTTCCCTGCTTCCTCACTTTCCAGAGCTTCCTTACTTCCATTATGGTTCAGTATGGGTAAATGAAATCAAAGAGTCAAACATTTCTATTCTATTTCATTCTACAGCACCATGGAAATCCTGGCACACATCATTTTTCATGTATTTGCTTATTTTTATTATTTAGCTCCAAAAGAACTTATATATAATGTTTTTTGTTCAGGAGGCCTTTCAACACAGAGCTCAGTTTTCCAATGATGTTGGAAATTCCAAGCAACACTGATATTAATTTTTAAAAAGCATACCTAGGAGTGCAGTGAGTTTGGGAAGCAGTCCAACTTGTACCATCTTATTCCTCAGGCTTGTGTCAAAGGATAGGTTTAGTAAAAGTCGGAGGGTGATATTCAGTAGATCTTCATGTTCACAGGGTATCATTTTTACTAGTTTTTCAACAATATCCATTTCCACCTATGTAAAATAATAGTAGAGATGTGGTAAAGTTCTCTTGCGAAATGAGAAAAAAAATTACAAATAATGGTTTCCTTTGTTTTTGCCCTAATATGTATCTATTTTATAAGTAATTATACGTTAATCTTATACTCCAGTTTCAATCTGTAAACCTTCCTGAAATCAAACATATACTTCCACATTATCCCCTCCTTACTTCGTTTAATTGCATCAATCAGAAGTTGGCCCTTGAAACCACTGTGCATTATTCAACACCACCTACTAAGTACCATGCCCTTTGCTAGATCAAACAAGGTCTAATCTTGACCGATTTCTCAGTCTAAAAATAGAGTAGACAAACATAACAAATAATGAAAATGCAATGTGAATAAAATTGAAAGCACAAAGTGCTGTGGAAGCAAAAAGGAGGGAACTACTAATCTACCTGGAAGAATAGAAGACTTCAAATTAGGACCGAAGTCTTAAAAAATGAGTAAGAATTTGCTCTCTGGTTAAGAAAGGCAATGTCAATCCAGGTTGAGGAAAAAGCAAGTGGTTAAGCATTTAGAAATAAAAGAGCTTGTCTAGGGAACTGCAGATGCTTTGGCATGACCACACAACACAGTATATGTTGGGGATTGGCAGAAGCTTATAAACACAAACCTTAGAAAAATCATAAAGGCTTTCAATGCTGTGTTAAGAAGTTTAACGTTATTCTACAAGTAGTAGAGTGTCCTTAATGATTTTAAGTCCAGGGAACGACATGGTCAGACTAGTTCCTGGGCTAGACCACCGCTGAAATCCAAATTCCCAGACACCAGCCAACTGCCAACCTTGTAAGAAGGTCTATTTAAGAATGGTAGTCTCTGGACCCTTTTCTATACAGTCAATAAGTAGATGTAGGTGCCATTGGCTAAAACTGGTAAATGGATAAAAAGGTCTAGGACTTTAGGACCTGAAGGGCAAAAAAAATTTTTTAATTTTTGTTATGTTTAAAGGGATATTTAGTGGATATTGGGAAAGTATGTCAGACTCAGGAGAGAAACTAGGCTACAAGCAATAGTTGAAACTTTAGGACAGCAATCAGTAAAACATGGCTAGTGGGCCTAATCTGGCCCACCATCTATTTTCATTCAACCTGTGAGCTAAGAATAGTTTTTGGCTTTTACATTTTTAAATGGTTGGGGAAAAAAATCAAATGAAGAATATTTCATGACACATAAAAATTATATGAAATTCAAATTTCAGTTTTCATAAATAAATATTTATTGGAACACGATCACACCCATTTGTTTACAGATTGTCTATGGCTGCTTTTATGCTACAATAGCAGAGTTGAGTAGTTGCTACAGAGACCATATAACCTATAAAGCGTAAAATATTGACTATCTGACCCTTTAAAGAAAAAGTTTGCTGACCTTTGCTCTAGAAATCTATGAAATCACATTAAGAAAGCTTGTTTTAGAGTGCTGCATTCTGATTTTTTTTTTTAATTGAGACAGGGTCTTCTTACTTTGTCACCTGTGCTAGAGTACAGTTGCATGATCATAGCTCACTGCAACCTCCAACTCCTGGGCTCAAGCAATCCTCCTGCCTCAGTCTCCCAAGTAGCAAGGATGACAGGTGTGTGCCACCACACTAGGCTAATTTTTCTTATTTTTGTAGAGATGGAATCTTGCTATGTCTCAAACTCCTGGCCTCAAGCGATCCTCCTGCTTTGGCCTCTCAAAGTGCTAGAATTACAAGCATAAGCCAATGCACCCAGCCCTGATTTTTTAAGGTACAACCAGAAAAATTTAGTTATAAAAATATCTCATGTCTTTCTAGTTATAAAGCAATGGCAAAAAGGAGAGAAATTCTAAATAAGTTCATATTTTTTGATCATTACCAAAGGATTTATGAATAATCTCACTCTACTTTTTCTTTCACTGGAAATTTAAAACATTTATTTATACTGTCCTTTTCATATCTTTATTGCAATTTTAACTGACCTCACAAAATCACATTAATAATTGAGCCCTTGATATATTTTTCTCCTTTCATTCCATGCCAAGAAATGTACTTACATTTTTTTTTTT